AACAGCGATTGTGAGGATGGCTCAGGACCAGGCAGTACTTCGTTCTGTTGTACACAGGGTCGCTATGAGTCAGAACCGACTCGACAGTACCTAACAACAACAGCAATACAATAATAACGTTAGACCCATTCTAAGTATCTGTAAGTTACAGTAAAAGGATCAATAATAGAATGTTTTAATCAGATTCTTCATTCAAGGTTTTGCACATAATTTTCAAATTTATGACAGAAGTTTTCTTTTTCTTCGCTTATTGAATGGGAGAGTCTTCTCTTGGCAACACAAATATAGACAACACATCATATGATCCCTCTGGATAAACAGACACAAAGTAGAGTATATGGGAAAAGGCAGTATTTAACACAGGAGAAAAAAGCTTCCCAGTAAAAAGTGTTGGGATACAAAAATTCACTTATAATCAAAGAAAGATGATGAGGAAGCTTCTCATTTCAGCCTGGGCTCTAGGTGCAAAAAAGGAACTACAGGCCTACACTTGTATGAGTTTGAAATTCTACTCTCAGGGTCCTCTGTAGAGATAAAGTAATACTGAAAGTGAACTCACAATCTAAATTGCAAAACACATTGAAGTAAAGTTGACGAGAGGTGGGCAGTGTAGTGGTAGGTAGAGCCAGAAGCCTGGCTGGGGAGTTTGAACTTTATAATATATTCAGTGGATTGTCTTCATACTAGCAATTTACTTTAATTTACTGAGTTATTTCCCCTTTTTAAAAAAAGTTGATTACTGATGTAACTTTCCACTTATAAAGCCAAAATTTTAAGGATAATCATACTTTTGAAAATGTTACCTAGTAACCACCTAGTTTTTGAGTTTGTTTTTAAAATATTTTGTATAGTTGTGGGATGACATCAGGGACATCATACATGAAGAGAGCAAAAGGCATTAAAAAGACAGAAAAGAAAGATAAGACTAAAATAGATGTCAGAAGAGACTCCGAAACTTGCCCTTGAATGTAGAGTAGCTGAAGTGAATGGAAAAAATGATGAAGTAAAAGAGCTGAACAGAAGATTTCAAAGAGTGGCTCAAGAAGAAAAGTAAAGTATTATAATGAAATATGCAAAGACCTGGTGTTAGAAAACTAAAAGGGAAGAACACGCTCAGCATTTCTCAAGCTGAAAGAACTGAAGAAAAAATTCAAGTGGCAATATTGAGGGATTCTATGGTCAAAATTTTGAACAATGCAGGAAGCATCAAAAGAAGATGAAAATAATACACAGAGTCACTGTACCAAAAAGAATTGCTCGACATTCAACCATTTCAGGAGGCAGCATATGATGAAGAACTGATGGTACTGAAAGAAGAAGTCCAAACTGCATTGAAGGCATTGGCAAAAAACAAGTCTCCAAGAATTGATGGAATACCAGTTGAGATGTTTCAACAAATGAATACAGTGCTGGAAGCGCTCTCTGGTCTATGCTAAGAAATTAAGAAGATGGTCAGCAACTTGGGCAACCAGCTAGAAGAGATCCATATTTGCTCCCATTCTAAAGAAAGGTGATCCAGTGGAATGCAGAAATTATCAAACGATACCATTAATATTCCATGCAAATAAAATTTTGCTGATGATAATTAAAAAACGGTTGCAGCAGTACATTGACAGGGAACTGCCAGAAATTCAAGATGGATTCAGAAGAGAACGTGGAACCAGTGATGTCATTGCTGATGTCAGATGGATCTTGGCTGAAAGCAGCGAATACCAGAAAGGTGTTTACTGTGTTTTATTGACTATGCAAAGGCATTTGACTATGTGCATCATAACAAATTATGAATCACATAATGAAGAATGGAAATTCCAGAACACTTAATTGTGCTCATGTGGAACCTGAACATAGACCAAGAGGCAGTCATTCAAACAGAAAAAGGGGATACTACGTTGTTTAAAATCAGGAAAGGTGTGCATCATGGTTGTATCCTTTCGCCACACTTATTCAATCTGTACGCGAAGCAAATAAGCCAAGAAGCTGGACTATATGAAGAAGAATGGGGCATCAGAATTGGAGGAAGACTCATTGACAACTTGCAATACGCAGATGACACAACCTTGCTTGCTGAAAGTGAAGAGGACTTGGAGAACTTACTGATGCAGATCAAAGATCACAACCATCAGTGTGGACTACAGCTCAGCATAAAGAAAACCAGAATCT